AGGTGGGTCTCCCACAAAATACGAGTTTATCGCCCAAAAGAAAAAATACGTTACAAGGAAAACTAAACTGATCATTTTTATACGAAATGCATGAATTATGCATCGGTAGCCGCCGAGAACAGTTGCTACGCACATCGAGCACACACCGTGAAAATTTTATTGAATTTGTCAAACTATGAATCGGAAATAAAAAGTAGCGGCACAAGAAGCAAGTTTTAGCTGACAATTTATTCTTTATGACGGGCAGGGAGAAGGACAAGGAAACGTGTTGGAACTCAGTTCTTTAAAAGCGTAACGTTTGTCGTGCAAGGCATTGGAAACCGGATACGTTGTGTAAGCATGATAATCGCGGACGACCCAGTATTCTGCGGAGGTGGGAGCACCTCCATGATGTACAAGCCATCTGTCGTCAAACAGTATCTCCGTTACCTGCAATTGGCTGGAGCCGGAGTGAAAAGGGCAGGGTTGATGTTGATGGTGTTACCGAAACCAAGGTTGATTGCCAGGCGATGTGTTCCGGTTGTGACACGATCCTGAATCCATAGAGCTCCGGAAGAAGTGTCTTGATAAACCTTCCAGTTGTTAGCCACCAGCAAGGTCTGCAACTGCACACTGTTACTTGCTGTAAGATCGGCAACTTGGATCAGTCCGTTTGGACGGATATTGATGCTGGTGCCCATGCCAGGGTAGAATGCCACACGATTATCAAAGGAGGGAGCGCCACTGTTGTCTCTAACGACTTATATACTGCCACCCTCTTGGCCAATCGTCCAGGTGCCAATGGTAACCATGGGCGTCCCCACGTTAACGGATGCCGAGAACGTTTTTGCGTTAATTTGACAGTTAGCTTGGACGTTCACACAGTCCTTGGTAAAAGGCCACAAAATTGTTAGGAGCGCTGTTGTCTCGGAAAACCAAAGGATTGCCGCCTTCCTGGCTGATAGCCCATGTGTTGATGCTGACCTTTGGAGTGGCAACGTTTACGCTTGCGGCAAAGGTTTTGGCGTTTACTTGACAATCGGAAGTGACTGTCACACAATTACCCAGACCTTGATAGAATGCCACCAGATTGTTTGACGAAGGACCTCCGCTGCTATCCCGGAAAACCAAGGGGTTACCGGCCTCCTGGCTAATCGCCCAGGTATTCAGGCTGACTTTTGGCGTGACAACACTGTCACTGGCTTTAACTGTTTTAGCATCCAGCTCACAGGTGGGTCTAGCGTTTATGCAGTCGCCCAGTCCCTTGTAAAACGCAGCGCGGTTATCAACTCCAGGTGCACTGTTATCCCGCAAAACTAGTAGATCATTTCCTTCTTGGAGAATTGTCCATGTGCTAATGCTGACCTGGGACGTGACAATATTGGTACTAGCCGTGATGGTCTGAGCCTCCAGTTTACAAGTTGGTTTGCCATTGATGCAGTTGCCCAGTCCTTTGTAAAACGCCACGCGGTTATCCCTTCCGGGCCCGCCGCTGTTATCACGGAAGACCAGTGGATCATCGCTTTCTTGAAGAATCGTCCAAGTACTTATGCTGACCTTTGGCGTAACAACATTTTTGCTGGCAGAGAAGGTCTTGGCCTCGACCACACCGTTCGGGCGGACGTTCACACTGGCGTCGATGTTTGGGTAGAGAGCTACGCGGTGATCTCCTACAGTCATCAGATCCCGGAAAACCAAGACCTTGTCTTCTTCCCGGATGACCCAATCATTGTCACCGAAGGTGATCTCTTCCACCCGCAGCTTTCCTTCTGGATCAACAATCACTGCCTGACCGCTGCCTTCCTTGATGACAAGTCTATCGTCGCCGCTGTTGGCATCCTGGATGGCAAGATAGTGATCGCCATCGCGTTCCACATCCCGGATTACAAATTGGCCGATGCGTATTTCGTTTGCCGTCAAAACATCTGAAAACGCACGATTGTTGGTTGGTCAGAAGCAGTAATCCACAGACGAATATAAATACTTACAGTTGTATGAATGCCTAGCTGCCACCAAACACATGCATCTACATACTGTGCATGTACACAGTACTAGGTAGGAAATTTCCCGTAAAGCAGTTCTTTTACTACTTTATATAATGTTAATAGATTTATCATACTTGCTCTAATGTCAGAACTCGCACTGCCGGCCGACGCTGGCGGTGAGGGCGTGGGCGAACGTGGAGTTTGGCAATAGCACGGCTTGTATCCGTCACCGTAGTGACTTTCGTCGCGAATGTCACTTTTATGCCTACAGCAACATCGGCGGTGGATTCATGACAAAACCGATTATAAGAGTAGAAGACGGTGCATCACTCTTTGGGTAGTTTCACAACCATCGTATTCTGCTAAATGCTCACCTTGGTGCTGACGAATCGCTTCCTTTCCAAAATCCTGGGCTATTTTCGTTGTACATGGGCTGTCGGGCATTCCTGTTAACGTTAACATTCGTTTTTCTTGCTTAAAAACCATTACAATGATAAGTACTGTTTATCGAAATAATTTTTCTTAGACAGAATGAAGGCAACATAAAAATGACCGTAAACTTGCCCATGCAGGCGCCTTGATGAATTCCCTTTGCGACGGTTATAAACTCCATCAGAACTGCGGTGCCCGTCATATGCTGTCGTTGGCAAAACGAAGACCGCCTGAGCGATAAAGAGGTAAAGTAAAATAACGGATGAATATTCTGGAGCACATCGATGTTTTTCACATTGCGAACACATTTAAACAAGTTTTAATATACGCGTCATTCTGCTGTACTTTGTTTTATGGACTTACTCATTTGTCACAGTTATCACTTCGTTAGATTCACAGTACATACTTTGGAATTGTAAAAATTACTTCGTGTTGACCAACGCGAGAATCTGTATGTTTCCAGCAAAATCATAGAGTAAAAGCGTTTTTACTGCGAGAACGTCAAAGTACGTACTTATGCAGAAACGCAGCTGCGTTGCGGTAGCTAACTTAAAGTGCACTTTCGAATAACAACTTTTTAATTGGGAATTTTCGAAACCGGTTTAAGTTTAAGCACAAACTCAAGTTCAAGTTGCAAATTTGAACGGGAAGTTGAATTGTTGTTTCAACTTGTGCAAATATAACTTTCGAAAATGACTCCGTACATGATATAAAACCCTGTAACGATTGTTTAATAAACTCGATATACACTTACGGAATACAGATACAGGATGATGTAGTGCCAGATCCAGTACACCATGATTCTTTTGTTAATTAAAAGTTTCAAACAGTAATTAATATCTACTTTTAGCTGCAAAGGCTAAGGTTCTTGCGTAATATCAAAACATTTTAGCTGTTATTATCATAACTGGATTATGACTTCTTTTCCTCTTTCTGTCCAGAGCGCAAATGCCGTACAGCAACCGCGGGTTGAAAGAAACTGTGTACGGTATGAGCGGTACGGTATTACAGGGTGTAGGCCGTGTAATGTGAACTGTGAACGAAAATAATTTGGTACAAGGTATGTGTGGCTGTACCTACTGCACCAAATTTAATTTTTATGTTGGGTTTTTGTGCAATAGCACGTACTGTACACACACCAATCGGCTCGCTAATTTTGTGATTAATGCACCATACTAATGCTGTACGGCGTGTACGCAGCGCACGGTAACCTATGCAGTTAAAACAAAAACCATTCAGTTGCGATCAGATAAAGTTCAGCGTATACCATTCACAATGGGTTGGGTCTAAAAAACCATCGGCTAGTTGAACAGTGTAATGGTCGCAAGAAACTACCGTAGTCACTTCAAAGTCGAAGAAAACCTGCGTTACCGCGGCGCGTTTACCAAGAACGAACAGCGCCAAAGTCCGACCGAAAACGTACACCGCTCCACTGCAACCGCATTGCTTGGCAGTTCCGACAGGTTGTACGAGTCGGTCGTTTGCACGTGACTCAAAATGATTCAACCTCATTAAATTTTCACCAAGAGAAATCACGACCTCTACTCATCATTACGCCTAATTCTATAAATAAGGCGTGTATGCAATCCATGGAAGTCGCAAATAGATGAAGATTTATTGGGAATACCGGATTGGGAATACCGGACAAAAATAAAACCATACAGAGCCATTTACGTTGGTTCCTCGTCCGAACTGCAGCAGTTAAACAAAACAAAAATGTTGTACAATGCTTGTGCATACTTTTATTGGAACATCAGTCTCCATGGGGCTCATGCACGTTCTTATTGACCATCGGAGAAGCTCGATATCTGTTAGCCACATTATAAAAACGACCGGCAAGCGAACAACTGCATTAAGTATAAAAATTTTGATTAGTTTTCTCCTTATAAGCGTATCTGTAATCTTGCCTTCCGTTAAGGTAGGCGTCGTAATCGCGGAGGACAAAGTATTCTGGACCAGACGCAGGGTAGGGACCATGATGGAACAACCATTTGCGTTCAAACTGGATTTCGGTTACCTGCAGCTGCCCGGCTCCGGTGGTCAGCACCGCCGGATTGAAATTAATGGTGCTGCCGATCCCGCGATTAAGGGCGATACGGTGCAGTCCAGCCGTCACTCGGTCCTGTATCCACAACGCTCCACTGCTGTCATCCTGGTACAGTTTCCAGTCCTTCCGATTTGCAGGTCATTCAGATCGACGGCGTGCAGTTTCAGTTTGCCTTGGCCTTCGAAGGTGGACGAGCCCAGGCCTTCTTTAAGCGCCAGTCGGTCTTCATCGCTACCGGTGGCGTCGCGGAATACCAGGCAGCGTTGTCCGTCCTCATCGCACTCTTCATCACGGATCAGCCATTGGCCCAGACGGATTTCTTTCACCGTTAACGAATCTGTCACAGAAAACGTCACAGAAAACCGAAAACCGTTTTACCACAGCAAAGAGAAGCAGTCTGTATTTTGTTCGACAACAATGTCGACTCGAGCGCATATATTGGCAAAGGTCACACTTATGTTAGCGGCTTTGCAAGGCTTACTTGCGCTGATATCGGTTGGATACGCTGACGGTGCCGGCCGGTTGCAGGAGAGCTTGTTGGCGGGGGCATACACATTCCACTGGTTTCGGGCCATAATTGTCGTAATCAGATCCACGAGCACTGTCTCGGTAACTACCGCACAGAATCATGGTATAAACGTTACGATTACGGTTATCCGTTAAAAAAAGAAAGAAATTAAGCAGAGCACGCGCCTCGTGGTTTGAATGCATTACAGCACAGTTCTTGCTTTACCTGTTCGAGCGTCCAGTTCCGTTGTATAAACGACCGGTTAACTGCGAATCTTTGTAGGTCGGTCTTCTCGCTGATGAATGAGAGATACCAATAATCTACGACAGGAATTCGGTTAACCAGCGATTAGAGAGAAACTGCACAAAGCCCTAAATGTATGTACTTGTACCTAAAGAAACGGTGGATTACTAACCATAACAGCATGCAGTAAGGCGTAATAAACAACCCATTTTTCAGCCTTGAACGAGCTGTGTATGAAGGTAGACCGCCTGAGTACTTCTTCGTTTACTAAAAAACGAAAGTGTATCTTTTGGAAGAACAGATGGGCGAAATCGGTTTTGTAAAATGGTGGTAAACTGTTTGGTCAAATCGGTTATGCAAATCGGTTATGTAAAATGGTGGTAAACATGCAAAAAGCTATAACACACGCACGCATAAGGGAATCAAACAGCAATCATAGTTCGTTACTGTACTACCAACACTTTTATGTAATTGCTGAATCGCGAGCCAGAACTAGCCTGCTTATTTGTTACACGATTTTTCGCAACAAGCTGCCAACAGCGTTGTGGTAGCGCATTTTGTTATTTACCTACAAAAGCCGCGGATTACAATTTTCGGAGTTCTGTTACTTAACTTCCAAACTCGGATTACAGAAGGAAGCAGTTGTAGAAAGAAATTATTGAAACAGTGTGAAATGGATAGCTGACACATAATTTTAAATCAAGTTGTTGGCAATAGTTTTAAATATAAGTAATGTACTTATTCACAACATCAGATGTAGTGTCTGGAAGTCGGATGGTGTTCTAACAGCCAAGATCAAATAAGTATATTTGCTCACACATTTTCCTTGTTGTTTCTGGAAATATATATTTATATAAATACATATATATAAATGTAAATATATTTAATAAATATATTGATCAAATATATTTGCCTACACACTTTACATTTTGCTTCAGGAAATTGTGGAAATTTCGCGTCTCGTTATTAACATGCTATGGCGCATGTACCACAGTACGAGTATTGCTTTTGGTTAACTTGTATGAGCTCCGGCACGCGTCTGTACGACGGTGCGGTTTGTCCTGTGTTAAGTGATTTATTACGAGTAATTCCATGTTGTAACACGCTGGGTTTTTACTTGATTCTGGAGGCAGAATCAGTCGATCGATATGTGAGCTAGCGAAATAAGATCTAATAAACTTGTGTTGAGATATCCGGATATTCGTGTGTGTTGTGGTGACCTTCGTAAAGACAACTAGGGATAGTTATCTGAGCGGAAGTCAGTGTGTGAGTCGGAAGCAACATCATCCGACTAAATCTGGGACAACAACATCGTCCTAGCAGGATCCTGAGTGTGTGTGTACGCGTTGTGTGTAGGAAATATTAGTGCTAATATTTCCGAGGAGTTTCCATTATTGTACATCTAGAGCATATTCCATCTTTATTGCCTGAGTAAGGTTGGTCATCCTGCTGTACTTGTGAGTACAAGTACACCAGAGCATGTCATTATTTTAACGAGCTTGCTGTTCGCAAGCTATGTATCAAATCGGTTTGCTCAATCCGAAGTACCAGAGATAATATGCAAAAACTAGTAGGGCATACAAATAATAAGCAGTTAATTCCGGTAAACATATAATCAATAGCTGTTACAATTTGAACCATATACTACCTTCAAATTAAATCAAAGTCAAGTCTTCTGCAAGGATAATTTTCATACCGTAGGACGGAGGGATGCACCATGCGCCGTGCACATATGACGTAAAATGTACAGCTACTTTTTATCAGTGCAGTTCGGCATTCAGTTAACAGTGAAACGCTGAATACTGAAGAAAATGTGTATTTCCTCAAGACAAAACCACAATAAAATATCTACAGGTGACCTTTACCATAACGTTTACAGATACGTCTTTTAAAAGGGAACTTATGCGAATACTTTATTTACTCGAGCTTGAACTAAGGCATAAATATCAGGGATGAGTCTCTGATTAACTGAATGACTGGCTGTCTTTATCGGTTTTGTGTATTTACTTGGAAGTGGGAACCATGTGGCTTGTGACTTGTGAGCAGCAGAGAAGAGATTTATGCAGCGCAGAGCAACAGACAACGCAGCTGACAGAAGGGTGCATTAAAAAAGGTCACTGAGTAACCGGCCTCTCGTAGCTGCCCGGCGGCCAGAGCAGGACATTTTGCTGCCGAGATGTATCTGTACATTGTCGCCAAATCTGCATCAATGTGACAATTTTTATGGGGAATTGTATTAGTGAAATATGCTTTTAACTTGTTAATTGCAGAAAAGTGATTTAAATTTCCATAATGTCTTAAATGATTTGCAAAGTCTTCCTTTTGTCTAAAAAAAACTTTTATTGAACAAAATATGTAGCAAATTGCAACAAAAGATGAAATAATGCGCGGGTTTTAGACAATCAGCCAGTATTTTCGTTAACGCGACAGTAAAACCTTCCCGTAGACCGCTGTTCACTGACTGTTATTAGTTTCTTTCTTAATTTGGTATGTTGGGAACAAAGTGAATAAAAGTATGCGTCAGTTTTTATGAAAAGCTGGTCAGTGAAAAGAGAACGACAAACGGTGGTTCTTGGGAACTGCTTTTGTTCTTTCGAAAATTTTGGTATCCACAGTAGTTTGTGATGCCCACATCGTGTATGCTGGGATCGACTGCGAGCTGATAAATAAATAGGCACATTTCTGCTTCCTGTTTCTTAATGCCAGAAAATACGTGCTAGTTCGAATACGAGTCTTAATGTAATGCGAGTGATGTGTTGATCCCCTTAGAAAACTATTCTATGAAGATCCCGCTGTTTCCCATCCAGCACATCAATCGTCTTCAGCGTGTTAATACTATGTAGTTTCAACCGACGAAGGCATTGTACGTGTATCATCTCAAAGTAAATTTCTTTGTACTTGATCTAACCGCGGAACAAAAGCCTTTAATAACTGCCTGACTGACTGTCAATGGTAAGAAAAAAACGCGGAAACAGAATATTCATAAAGTGTAATACGTACTGCTTGTAATGCATACATAATTATCATAATGCCTGTAGTCAGCGCTGCGCATAATATCCGTGCATAAAAAAACATGATAACAGGAAGCGTTTTCTAAGACAGTTATTAGCATATTTACTGCGCTACACAGTAGCTTACTTCATAGAAAAAGAGCCAATACCGTTCCCCTGTCATACTGTATGATAGATTAAGGTTGATCAAGAAACCCGCTTGACTGCCAATAACATCCGCGGGAGTCACACAGGTAAAGGAATCCGTCGTCGTAAAGCCGCAGTTCGGGATTGTCGTAGTTCGGAGCATTTGTTATGGAGGACCACAGAGCGCGATTACCGATGCTGTACGCTACCAAATTCCCGTCCTCCTGCAGTCGGACGCTGTTAATCCGCTCCTGTGTCGCTGCCTTGAAACCGATTCGATTGTCTTGCCGGCGCACCACCATTAATTGCTGCCTGTTAAAACGGGATGGTCCCAACGTGAATTTGCCGTTCGAAGAATAGAACAACATATCCAGATCCATATAGTCTACCATTCTAACTACCACTAAAAGACAGAAAACGTAAACTGTTTCAACAACCAATTATATAAGACTCTTTTGGGAAAGATTGTTTCGTTAGGCTATGCTTACCTAGATAATTGTACGTTTCTGCTGGAGCAAGATTGACCCGACCACCACACTGCCAGCCCTGAGTGCCGGAAGATCGAGACGATCGCCAATAGCATCCTTTATCGTTGCACAAATAGAAATAACCTTGATCCGACAGCAGCAGTCTCGATTCGCCGTATCCCCAGGTTTCGGTGGACCAGTAGGACGTCTCGATGCTGCCACCGTTCCCCCATGATCCGACGGTGAAATGGCCATCGCTGCCCAGTACGGCGCGGAGCGGAGGCAGTCCAACGGTCTCCGAGGCCCACACCGCCCGGCCGTCGCATTCCCGGTACAAAACTAAATTCTGGTCGGTTTGCAGAATCAATCGGTAAGCTCGCGATGGAGAGTAGTAGCTAACATTGGGCGTCAAGAATTCGCCGGCTCCCAATATCACTGCAAAAACCATACTTCTATATGGATCACCGCAGTCGCCACAAGTTCGAGCTTTTCTGCTTACCGCTGCCATTTCCGTACTGTGCATCACGCAGCTCTACTGCGCTTTTGTCAGGCATGGAGGTGGTCGTTATACTTCTTTCTTGGTCCTCTAAAAAGTAAAAGAAACCATTTTGCTTGGTAACTTCGCTACAACATTCGCCATGCATAAAAACTCTGTTTACATACCAAGCTCTGCAACCTGCTGCTTTTTCAACTCAGCAGCTGCAGTGCGATTTGTCCAGAAAGAGTCTTCACTGTCGTTCTCCTTAGCCGTTTCTGGTGCCACCTATTTTGAATCCATTTATTCGCAGTTAATCAACTGATCATGAATCGTTGCATACGTGTGTTGGATTCTTACCTGAAGATGTAGGTCACGAAAACCCGCTGCGATCGATTCAAGATTACTGAGCCACGACGGCATGCCGGAGTTCATACTTCTTGCAAGGGTATAATCCCGTAAGTCTACGAGCGGAGCATACCGAATTTAATAACGGTTTCAGCATTAACGCGATCTAATTTGCGACTGGACACTTACTGCTTGGTAAGGCGACTGCTGGTGTGGTAACTGCAGAAGCAGCAATAATACAGAAGTAAAACCACATTTTGAACGATCAATTGATTTTGTACTTATTAGAACGTGATTGACCTTAATGTACTCTCAACCGTAATGTACCCTACTCTCAACTTGCTTTCAAGCAACCACCGGGAACAGCTTTATATACATCGGTGCTACCATACTCCTAGATCGATAGCACAACTTGATCGTCGATACCATTGATAAACATCGATGGATAATCTTGATTGCTGATATTTGCCGTTACTTGGTACAATGCACATGTACATACAAAGCGTCATTCGGCTCCGGCTTGGTTCTAGCAGTGCATGTATGCTAATCGCTCAATCTTCTGGCGCGTCATTCTTTTATCCGTTCCCGTTTTTTCCAGACACAGTCACTATTTTCAGGAAACTGTGTACCATTTCAGAAAACACCGGTAAATGTGTTTGGTGATTTTTAAGTTGAAACGTCATCTGGCATAGCTGACTGGCATCCAGATTAAATAAATGGTCATGGACTTACGACGTCTGATCTTACATGTACCGTAAGTGATTCTCTCAAGTTAATACCACAGAGTTCGTGCACGGGGAAATCGCGCTTGCAAAGTGTGCACTGCCAGCAGACACAAACAAACATACCTACAATACACACATTGCATGTACTACCATATATTCCGTACTCGTACACAAGGTCTATGGTAGAACTTGTGAGGACCGCTACAGTATGTACTGTACCTTTTACGGTATAGTTTAGTGGAAACTCTGTGAAGTAAAACAACACTTGTTAGTGCAATGACAAATGGATAAAACAACACGGTTAACTATCTGACAATACTCATTAATTAAATGAAGTTATCGAACTGACCTTTGTTTAGCACGAGAAGCAGCGTCTGACTTGTCCTCGACATGCAGATACTCTTCTCCAGAAAGACTTCTGCAGAAAGCGCGATCTAAGCCCGATAATCAATGTAATTCTCTGCCAATTTGCTTGTAACGAGAATAATGTTTTATATATACATAATACAATGGTTTAGCGTCCTCGTACAACGAATTTCTGCTCTTTAAAGTCGAAAACAATGATTGTTAGGTGGCGGACGGCCAGGAATTACGTGGTTTCATAGGTGTACATCCAGTTACAACCATCTCTACTATCTTCGAACAATAATGATCGAATTTGCAAAACAAGTACAGATACAAGGCTCCCAGTAGACTTGCTACTATGATAAATATTGCCAATACAGAATCAGGCTCAAGACACGAAAAGAAGCGCCCAGTAGTTCCAAGCTGAAAAATAATTGTCGGTTGTGCGCATTAGCGACAGGGCTAACAATAAAGCGTGTACATCAAAAACCTCCAGTTACAGAGCATGGTATATTATAGTAAAATGTTTTCTGTCTGGAAGACGGAGCTTAATTGTCCAGAGATTCACATGTTTAGTCATTCCCCGCTATCGCAGGAATTTTATTAAAATAGGCGGGCAAATAAAATTGCAAACAAACGCTGGGCTGTGTGGTTTTGTTTTGTTGAAGTTAAAGTTATGTTGACTTATTTCTGTTTCGACTTGACATACATACGCGATGACTCGAAGTGCAGTAACTCGAAGTCAACCTTGACTGGCTTTATTCACTTTGTGCAGTTACTGATAACTATGGAGGTAGGGAACAACAGAGAAGAGATTTATACAGCGCAGAACAACAGACAACACAGTTGGCATCGAATGCATCACAAAGGTCACGAGTAGCCGGCCTCCCCGTAGCTGCCCGGCGGCCTGGGCAGAACACTCTGCTGCACGGCGTCATGAATGGCGCTCTTCAGCTCCGCTGCTTCCCGCGGAACTGCCAAACGCACAAACAATTTTACCCTTTATACATACAGCCATCGTCATTTCTTATTCATTCACGTAGCGTACCTTCTTTCCATGCTTGCAAATTCACGCGCGGGAGAAACGGTCCTTTACATGGCACTCTCTCATTTCTGTTACCCAAGAGAAAATACATGTTATTAGAAATTACTCGTGGTATTAACGTGGTACGTATATAACCCTTGTACCATGTAAGGACCGCTTTGGATAGTGTTACTTACACTAACGGCAATACATGGACGAAGGCGTTGGGCTGTACAGTCTCTACTTCATCGGAATTATCGCAGATAATCCGGGCTATACTGCTCCTCCTGAGTTCGTAAAGTTGCTCTGCAAAACGTACTTTATATTCATAAATAAGACTAACGATAGTATTCCGTTTTTCTTCGGACTGCCACACTGGTAGACAAACAACAAAGTTATTAACGGTAGACCGCTTTAAAGACAGAATGATTGTCATACCGGAATTATCAGTCTTCGCTCAGAAGACTTCTATTTTTGCTCCACATAATTATGTCGGTCGGACTGTTACGCATCGTAAAAGTACTAAAAACATATTTGCGCTTTTTCGCTATGATATATGGCGGAAAAAGAATAGTATCTTCAATTTTAAACTAGACTCGCTCTCCACCGCTTTGCCAAGGCCGGTACCCACCTGATGTGAAAGCGTTGGGCTGTACATCGTTCTCGTACCAGAACCGATCGCCGCGCTTCAGATGCACAAACTGTTTGGTCAGCAGACAGGTAAACGTCGGACCCAGGAGTCCGTCATGCAACGGCTCTTCGGCAATGCCGGCGGGAAACTATCAACATGGTCGAAATTATTTGTCATCGACCAGATTCTTGAATGACTGCGACATACGTACCAGATCAATATCGTCTACCGTTCTATAAGAAAGACAAATGTGTTTAATGCAGTATTAATTGGTATTATGGATTCAAATTGCGAAGATATTATTTTACTCATAAACCGTCCGGAAGCGTTCGACAACTTCCGCACGCATTACATCCTTAAGGTCATCGAAGGCGTTCACTTTGGCAGTCCACAGAATTCCCGCCAGGCGTTGTAAGGGGGCAAACCTGAAATGCATCAGTTTGTTTTCATGGGTACTTCACATCTGTAATGCCGAAGATCGCGCGGGGTTGCCTTTACCAACCAAGCACACAGCGGTCAGTCGGTCACTAATTATAAAGGGGCAATGCTGTAAATTTTATAAAACGCTACTAAACTTGAGCAATCCAATATTTCTGAGCAATAATTTAAATTACAAAAATTTTAAAAAAGTTATTTTACTAGAATATTACTTGGACAGCACAATGCACTGACGAACAGGAAGGAAAAGACGTAATTGGACCGTTTCGCCCATGCACTACGATCTCATATGCAATCTATAAGAGTAGATTTGCTGTAGTAATTAGGCCGGTACGTCGCATTATGGATAATGCATGCAATGAATTATAGGTAATTATGCATTTGACGTCGGCATTAATACTCGTATAAACTGGCAGAGTGTCATTTACATAGATTGTATTATTAATATATGCTATCAGACTTGATTAGGGCGTACCGTGATCCCGACCACGCTGAATATTAATCGCCGCCAAATCCACTCCGAACTGATGGGGCTTCGACTCGAATAAGTGCTCGGTGATCTCGCTGCTCATGAAGGTATCACGTTTCTGTATGTTATCATTGATCATTCCCAGCAAATACATATCCACCACGCCCGGCTGATACAGCGGATATGGTTTGAAGAAGGCGTCCCGCAACTGTTTCTGCCCGATGTATTCGTGGTATTTGTTGAAGAAACGGAACCACGACGGGATCAACGTGTGTCCAAATCTGTAGTCAAACGCTGTATTCAGAAAATTAAAAGGTCACCGGGTGCTCCTTTACTGACCGTAACGCGGCGGTGGCGAAGACGTTGGCGGCGCTAGGATTGACGGTCTTATCGTAGCCGCCGTAGAAGCCGGTAGGCAGCGGCAAAAGGTCATTCTGGTACATGACATCCTTGCCGAGCACCAGCGGTAGCCATTCGTTGTAGGTGATGTGCTGGAGAATGGCGCCGACAATCTTTCGGGCTTCCTGGAATAGTCGTTCATCATCCCAGTGGGCGTTCATATAGTATAGTTCCTCAGCGATGCGGTTGTGCTCACGCGAGAAGAGGATGTGCATCGTGGCCAAACCTGCATTCACGTTGAAAATATTTTTCATTTTATTGCAAATTTAAACTTTGTTGTACCGCAAATAAAATGGTTTTAATTTTTTTAGAAGAAACCTGAATGTATTATCATTAATTTTATTTTTTTGCATTGTAAATTGAATCTCTGTAAAAGACAGTTTTTGAATTTAAAAAAGTATTCAGGTTTTAAAGTCTTTTTTTATTGCGTACTTTAAAAACTAACTTGATGTTAAAAATTATAGCAAGCTGGCAATCAGAGAAACTCGAACCAAGATGCGCATTTTTCGTCAAAGTACCGGTATTTTCGTTGACACGACTGTCGCCGGCTCGGAAGCACGGCAGCGATGCGGTAGCATCCGGACAGTCGCCGGTCTCTGGATCAGGCGGTAAAACATCCTTATGGCAATAATCGACGAAGACCGTCCGCAGTTTGCCGTACTGGTATGTTCGCATATTCTTCATATCGTCATAGGTTGATCCGTAAATCTGACTTCCGTCGATGAAACTGGTGAGCTGATTCATTTGTTCGCGCGGCCCTATCATTATATTTGCACACATTATGTGACGCAGATACCTATTTAAAATTAGATTTTTGACAAATTCAGCCCCAACAAATAAATAATTACTCTCTTTCATCAATATTCTTAAAGCTGAATTATGAATTAAAATTAGAGGAAAAATACCGGGACTAATTGGAATTATGAAATCGTTGCACATTTTACATAAAATATTCCGCGTGACCTTTCATGTACCTAATGCGCATCCGGGCCGAGGCGCCGCTTCCGATCGTACGAAATTCATACAGCGCAAATTGTATTTTGCATAAAACTGATCCCCAGCCGGAATTTCAATGGGATAACACGCCGGATGTCCGGGAATTCCCCAGGGCACCTCGCAGCACTGAATATTAGCTGATTTACCGAAGCCGGTGAGGGTGGTGGTGGGTGTGTGATTTATATCGTGATCCATAAACTGCAACAATAAAGTTGAGGTTTCTCGTTGAAGATGTACAAATACGCTGCGGGTGCTATTTATCCAACCTGTCCAAAGTGCATCAGAAGGAGAGTGTAGTGGCAGTGCGGCCGGTCCACATCCGGATGCATAACGGTGGAAATGAGACGCGCCGACGGCAGGGGTTGCCAGTTACGCCGCGTGCTCGTGGCGATTCGATGCCTGCAATTAACTGCAGCATGTCAAACGATAATTCATCTTAATAATATAATTTCTCTTGAACTTTGATTTTCCTAATAAATTTGATTTTCCTAATAAATTTGGTGCTGATTAACTTAACTGTTCTAATTAAATACGCTTTTTAATACTTCACAATTAGTTTCCTTAATTTTAATAATTAATTTTAGTATCACATTTTTTAACCAGTTAATCGTAATTAGCTTATATTATGATTTCGGTTGATCCATTAATGAGTTTGTCAAGCGTTTTGCCATATTTCTATCGAACTGACCGTCGTCGTACGCCGGTGGTAAAAAATCGTTGGAAAGCCGAAAATGAGCGTCCCCATTCGGGATGATACGGATTATTGCAGAAGCCGTCAATTTCCGGAATCGGCCCGGTTTGCAGGAACATGCCGGAATAGGCGGTAGCACACAGACGTCTCCCAGCACTGTCCCGTATATACTGATTTGAGGCAGTGCATAATGAATTTGTTCCCGTGATAGCCGATAACTGTAGAACAACATTTGATGTACAAATATTTATAAATTACCCGATTTCAAACACATTTCATATACAAAAACATATAATAACACTCTAGTTCCTGTTCAGTCTTAAACTTCAATTAATTTAATTTCAAACTGAATATTTTCTTTAACTCATCTCTCATTTTTACATAGAAGTACTGTATATCGATTTAATTTAATTATCTAATGATTTGAATATTAGCAAAAATTTTGCCAATTTTGCTGGATTCCCTACTCTTGCGCCAATCCTTTGGAAATGTCGAGAGCGACCAATGCCGATCGGGACAGCTGTTTCGCCCTCGTATTAGCCCGCCCCAGTGACTCGTGAATGGACGCGAAGGCGCCGGAGCTATTAGCTTTAAGAAACGCACCTACAACATATAACAATTACCCAACCAGCACAACATTATGCCGGCATCATATCCACCGGCGCCAATATGCCTTTAACACGGGGGTTAGCGTCTTTACCGGTTTTGAGCAGTTCCGGTTCAACACGGTTGAGGAGTTGATCGACCCGTTGCAGACTGTGGTCAGCCCGCTCTTTCAGCTCCGTGTACAGGAGGGGCGGCAGCTCCACCGTGGAGTAGTGAGTGTGCGGATACCTGTACAGAGGATTACACACGGATCGTCACAGTTAGCGACAGAGAGGAAGGGGATTAACAATGCCGGGTGTCACGCGCAGATGCACCGCTGCGGCCGGCAAACAATGCCCGCAGACAGCCGTCACACACGTAATGCGCCCGAGACGGATTATGCAACAGATAGCGCCGGGGCTACGGCACACGGGCCACTGCTGCCCGGACAATGGGCCACTGCACACTTCCGCCTTGCCGCCACCGACACTGTAGCGCTGGATTATTATACATCCCATTATACGCGAAGGCAATGTCAAAACTGTCTACAGTGAAAATTTAATTGGTAACTGTAATATTCCGAAAATTAAGTACCACCAGGCTTTCTACTATGTACAATACGAGTATACTTCCTGCTGTGAGTATATATCTAGCGAAACAATCCGCTCGATTTTGCGGAAAGTTCGACTAATTCGGGTATCGTATTCGAAACATGACGCTCTTAATGATCTGTGATAACACCAACGACAGAAGACAAAATGCTTTATTAATTATACCGACATTATACCGGCCAGGCACTGGCTACGCACTTCCGGCATAAAAAATTTACGTTCCTTTGAAATCCAGCACATAACAGTCTTCCGGCCTTTCCTTTCGAAATCCGTACTTTCCGTTTCCAAAATCCTTCCGTAAATTATAGGAAATGTGTGTTAACAGTTTAAGAAATGACTTCTGGAGACCGGCAAAAGCTCAGATACACATGTGATTTTTGCACCGGATAATCACATCTGCCTAAATATAAGGTTATTATCATACTGCGATTAAAGCAAACTTTTGACTCGTTCTTTTTTTGCAAATAAAATTATTGCACACAAACGTAAAACACTTTCCTGGTGAACGTCTGAAGTGTCGCCATAACGCATTTAGGGTATGCCAAAATTTAAAAAATTTTCACGTCAAAATTAAAAAACTGTTCCTTCTTTTCGACATTTTGCTTTAAGTACAAATAAAAACTGTATTTTTATCCCAATTACTGGAAGCGATGAAAAGGTGTACCAAAGGGATTCTGAGGTTTTAAAAACCCCAGTTTCTCAAGAAGTCATTCTGAAGTCCGCAACGAGGAAGCTGGACAGAAAACCACTGACCTTTCATATACGACTGTGGCGAAGACTGGTACGACGCATGCGCCAGCGGCACATTAGCCTCCACCGTAATATAATTCACGGAACCGGCGCCGGCACCGGTCGCCCGTCGCCGCCGCCTCCGGGCTTCCCCATCAACGTCTCCACCGGCACCCCATTCCCCACGGCAATCGACCGACATTCTGCAGCGGAATATTCCCCACTGCCGGAAGTCCCCGGAAGTGCTGCCATTAGCTCCGGATATGCCCGCAACGTCAAATGACTCCGGCAGTTGATTCAGCTCCCATCACTGTCATTCCTCGGTGGTACTCGTCTTCCCGCGGCCATTCAACGCGGAAATGGTGCTGATGGTGGAGCGGATGCCGCCCGGGAGGGTGGTCAGGTTGGCGGTAATGGAGCATATTATGCAGGGAAGAAACAACAACACGGAGATCACAGTCAGCGACATGGTGAGAATAAACTGCGCCGATGCCGGCATGAGCAGGGCTCCGCGCTGCGGCAGTTGCGCCAGTGGGCAATTAATCCGGAAAAATCCGCCAGCAGATCGTCCGTCCGCCCGCCGGGGTCAATCAGCGTATCATCTCGCACATGTGTGCATCAACGCGCCGGCGGGATTTATTAACAGTTTTCAAACACAGCACTATCTTTAATACAGCGCATATATGTTACACAACGTAAACAACCGTCCGCAAATTTAAAGGTCAATCAACGTATCAACGCACCGCCAGGATTTAAATAACAATTTCCCAAACACAGCAACACTAACTATTATATATATATATAAAAATAGCAGTCTTTATCGTTAATGTCTATCGACTATCGCATATATATCACACAGTTTAAAAAAACAAGTTTTTCGTTCAATATACACCGCATATATATCACACACAACGTTTAGTCTGTCCGTTTAAAAATAAAGGTGACTCTTGCGCGGTGCCGGTCAGATGCGAGAGCTGTTTAACGGTGGACTGATGCGTATGCTGCTTAAAAAAGACAGCGTTGTTCCATCCAGTAGCGTTGTGTTTGTTTCGCGTAATGCTAAGTGGATGGATATGGGGTTATGATGGTGACAGCCTGACAGTTGTCTCCTCTACGGCGTATTCGCGCAGCATCCACTGAACGGGTCGTTGGAACCCGCTATTATCACCGACCATTTCACTTCGCAATTATTACTCTTTCCGCCAACTGTTGCCGAATATGGAATCGTTACCCGGGTTTTGTCATTAACCTTTAAATAATTTTATCAGAGGACAATTGCCGGCACTTACCGGCACCTTTTCCTAAGTAACCGCAGAACGAACCCGGTTAACCGGTTACCGGGTTGGAGTTCGTGTGAGCAGGATGGTTGAAGAGGGAAAAATTATAAATTAGTGTGGTGGTGTTTAAAAAAAGATAATTAGCGGGTTGAGATGTATCGTTTACAGCTGTACACGGTGCGCAGCACTTTGTCCGATTATGCTAATCCCGGAGATAAATTAGCCGGCGATGGTGGTGGTGTCATACACAGCCCAGTCAAGTTCATGGTCAAGTGCGCATCCAACACAACCGAACAATACTCCATTCACGGCTTCGTACAGAAAACTGCGCGACTGATAACCATTTTGACGCCGCTGAGAGTTTTGACAAATTTACGTCCGGTTGCCGATCGGTTTAATGTTGCTCAAAAGCTACCGGAAATACGAAAATATTATTATTTTATCGTAACAGAAAACTACAGGTATGTTTGATTTATACGGATAATAAACGAGAGTAGTTTAATTTACAGTAGTTTAATTTACTCTGTACGTGTAGTTTTTTTATAATTAATATTTATTATTTTTTTTAATAAGGATTGCAGATTTTGTTTAATTTGTAGCTGTTATTCCAAGTCGTGTATTACCGGAAATCACTTTTAATCCGACCTTTTAAGCGACGCCCTGTAGTATAGAAATGGGCATTCTTCATCCTTATCCTATCCGGCACTTTTAAAATTATCTGCCCGACCGTTTAATTCTTTGCTACTTATCCTATGGTTATCCGACACTCGGATCCTAGTCTAATCAGATAATTGTCCAAACAGACAATTTTAACAAAAACAAAAATTCAGACATACGATAGGAGAAAATACTATACCGGGTACAATATCATAATTTTAAGTATCGATAAACTTGAAGTTAACGCTAAAACGATGGAACAATGGACTAGTGCAAATACGTGAATCATGTTTCATCACCCTACAAAAAGCAGATACGAAATGCTGCAGTTACGCTTAATATACGAGGTAGTTGCAGCTTACTTGTTAGCACAAAAAGAAACAACTGCATCATGGTGCTGCGATAATCGTTAGACTTTAATATGTGTTGCTACCGCTTGTAATTCTTGTAATTTAACAATCTAACAGCGCAGATAAAATAATTTATTTCGATTCTCGGATAAAGTTCGGACAAGCACCAATTATCGACTATCCGAAAGCTACGGGGCATTATCCTTGTCCCGAACGTTTCGGATAATTATCCTTTATCAGTGAGTTTATCCTATCCGAAATTCGGTTGGATAGGACAAAACGGATATTCCTGATATTCCTATCTGATGCCCATTTCTACTGTTGTATTAGTAAAATGATTTTTTGTATGAGCAGAAATACTGCTGCGCTCAACCGCAGATGGCGCAAGTTTAAATATTATATAGCCTTGAATGCCGGAACTGTTTTCCGTCGCAGTTGCGATTTCCATGGTATATTGCTGGCAGCTTGTCAAAAATGAGCTAATTATGGCGCAATATGTTCCCTTTAATTAGTGCATAACATGTGTGTTTATTGTAATTAGGTGGCCCGAAAGCAGTGCTGAAATCACCTTGATCCAGACGCAGCACCGCGCCGGCTGTGGGTCAAGTGGACTGAATCAGGCACTGTGACGCGCGGTGATATGTGCTGCTGCTCCAGCGCCGCATTATACTGCCTTCACGCGAGCGTCATCGCAAATATTGACCCTCTTGCATAATAATTATTGATTTACCTGTCTAAGATCGCATAGGTAAGTACAATACTCTGTGGGTGCGCACCTGCAATGCACAGTTGCAGGGATTATTCTGACGCATCCGAGGAAATTAATTACTTACTCGTCCACCGTCATTTCAGAAACACAGCACAATTGGTTGTACCAACAACTACGTTACAAAATTAAGCAACGCCGACATTTTGTATACCTGCTCTAAATTGTGTGCACATTATACATTATTCTACATTATACATATTACAACTTAGGACAAAATGGTCGCATACCCAACATCTCCACATTCAGTACGCATGCAGCGGAGTGCACTGTACGACTGAGTTCAAAATATCCGTTTCATACAAGCGCACTGCACCGCTTGCGTACAGAATGCTGGGTATGGGGCTATGCGACCATTTAGTCCTACATTGTATATGATAACATTAACGACATCGTTAATGTTATATCAAGACAGATCGCAATACAGGCAACCCCACTGAGGGCGGGATTTGCAATGACGAAAGCGCTGAGTAATCCAAATTGCCGAAGAACACCGTAAAAGCCAGAGTTTTTTAAGCTTTTCAAGCTTATTTGTGTTCTTTAGTCGTTTTACTCTTTTATTGCAGTTGGGATTTTATTTCTAATATAAAATAAGCAATGGGAAGAGGCAACATGATTAAGTACTGTGCGGCAACTTACAAAGCGGCTGTTGTAGTTTCTACCGGTATACGGCAAAATTATTACGTACTGCACGAGTTGGTTTTGTTGATTTATTCAAAAGAAACTTTTCAAAATCTAAGAACAAAATGAAGCAGATACTGAACTGAACAATGTGCAAAATTAAAGAACTAATTGGGACTAATTTACATGGAGAATCTATATAATAATCGCGTAAGCCTTAATCTTTGTTGAGTCCGTCAGCTCGACGCACGGATCCAAACTGCCGTGACTTCTCTATATAATAATCGCGTAAGCCTTAATCTTTGTTGAGTCCGTCAGCTCGACGCACGGATCCAAACTGCCGTGACTATATATCATTCGATAGCTCTTAAAAGTGTAGATTTGCCATCACAAATCAGTTTTTCAAGAAAAAAGTAAGTTTGAAAGAAACTTCCAAAACTTTCACATACAAAGTCTATGGGAAAAGCTAAGAACCCACCACTGCTAAACCAACCACCCCACCACTGTCTCAACAGCCAACATGCTTCTTTGACAGTTACGCTTACTGCTGACTGAACTTTACGTTCCATAACAGAAAATATTTCATCGTCTTAATGTACATTTCTCATCGAAATTTAGTTTGAGAAAGAAAGCAAAACGAAGGAAAGAAAACAAAATGGCCGCAAAGATTCTGCGACTGTGGGACGGTTCTAAAGTCTGATTTTAAGAACGTACCTGACCCCGCAGTAGTTTATTCAGTTTCAGCTAACTACTGTAAGTACCTTCCGGGCGGGCGCGGTTGCCTTTCTTACAGAACTGCCTGCGATTTAAGGCAATTTTTCTACGTTTTCGTTTTCGGTAGGTAAGACAAGGTGGTGTTCGAGAAAGGCAAACGGGGCAACTTGGAATACGTATTCAAGGTTTGCTTCGAAGAACAGCAAGCTGTTGTTTGTTTCGCAGGTTACGTGGTGTTTGGATTAAAGAACGGCTGATACATATCAATGCAAATCCAGCTCTCTGTACAAGCCATTTGTAAATCATTTCGGTATAAAATCGGGTGGGGTAAAACTGGATGTGGCGCGAATTGTAATATGTGGGTGGAATGCTGCATTGTAAGTAAAGAGGACAAATGAATTTTTCAGTTCGCTTGACAGCGTACTAGAAGGCGGCGCCGCGAACAACGCCGTGCTAAGCGCAAGCGGAGCTAGCGGAGCAGCAAGCATGCAAGAATTTTGCGTTACCGTTCCCGCTTTTGGAAAAGAGTTAAAAGCGAAGAAGGAAACATAACGAAATGCTTCTTTTCTTATTTATTTAAACTGTGTGGTTGTGTTCTTTGGTCAAAGACTCAAAGCAATAGTAAAAAAGGAGCAGCGATAGCATTACTCTGTCCGTGTGTTCGGATTGTTAAAATGGGATACAAAGGGCACCAGTGGTGGTAATTTTCAAATTGGGCTTTCAAGTATAGGTAAACTGTTATCGGATAGTAACGACCCTACAGCTTGAAAAAGCGCAGAATGATAAAAAATGAAAGGCTTTTGTTCTTATGTTCGTC